GCAAGATGAAATGGACAATAGGATCATGCAGGAGCAGGGGTGTATGGGGTTGATACCCAAAACTCCGCATGACTCTAAGTTCCTTCTACCTTGAGAGTTACAGTACTTTGGTATACTAAGGTCATTCTTGTATCCATCACAACTCTGTGTGTGTGTGTGCGCGCGCACCTTTTTTTGGGACTCTGCACTCAACTTGGTCAACATGATGGCCTCTTCATGTTGAGGTACCCGATATATGACAGGTCGTACCAAGTACTACGGACCCCCCCCCCTCCCCCCCAAAAAAACAACCCCCCCCCTCCCTCCCATCCCAAAAAAAAGAGCTAGAATTTCGACAACCTACTACATACCCTCACCCAAACAAGCCTGGAAGCTGATATATTACCCTTTTGAAAGCACAGAACTCTTTGTGGAGTATTTCTTGGGGCTTCCATGTTAGCTTGGGCAAGCTACGGCTCCAAACTGACACCTGAAGCCCTAACGTCTGAGCCCATAGCACTGGAGAGCTTAGAGCCTTGTGCCACCACATCAGATCCACGCACCATACCTCCAACTAGCCTAGATCCAGACCAGGAGGGCTTCCAAAAAGTGAGGGTGCCCTTTAAGGTTGCAAAATACAGGTATAGGTGTGCAGCAAGCTAAGGTATGATCAAACATGCATAATCAACTGGGAAAGAACATGTAGCAGGAAATGGCAACTGGATTCTCATATGTTCTTATTCCGGCTTATATGTTGGGCCAGAAAACGGGGTTCTGGCAATATTTGATATATACCGGCATCTGTTTTTTCTCAGCAATTGCAAGATTTGAAAACCCGTCTAAGGTTATGGGTTTAGGATTTAGGGTTCAGGGAGTTGCTCGAAGTCCCACTTGGAGGGTCATGGGGATACTTGGGATTATTATATTGCTTATAGGGGTTATTAACCTATTTACTAAGTCCTAATGACCCTCCTCCACCCGGCTCTCCCCCCGACTAAACCCTGAGAAATACCTGTAAATCGCCAGTTTTGATTTCATTTTCCGGATGGTTTTCGATTTGATTCTCCATTCTTGGGCGCTAATTAAGTACCCTGAACTCCATACACCCTAAAACCCTAGACCCTGAACCGTAAACCCTTTATAGTCCCAAAGCCCAGGGCTCTGAAGCCCCATAGTACCCCAAAGTACAGCTACTACGCGAACAAAGGCTGTCTGGATATCCTTGAATGAAACCTTCCATTGCTTGGGGCCTGGGGTGGTGGGCTCTACTTCAACCTCATTTCAGCAAGACTTGCTCTGTAAAAACGAGTTGCAAGCTTAATTCAGGGCCGGTCGTGATGGTGTTGGACAGACTTGCCATATAGCGTTCTATGACGAACAGCACCTTGAACTCTAAAACTCAAACACTACGTGTCCCTACATATCCCCCACATCCCTATTCATCCCTGCATGGGAGCCGAGCAAAAACAAGCCTTACTGCTCATCGCCCCATATCTATGTCTGGGGTTTCCAGCGCACTCGAATTTTGGGAACCCCATATACACCCTAAGACCAAGCCCTAAACCCTAAACCATAAGCGTTATCCTCTGAAACCCTAAACCCTAATTTTGAGAGCCCCACATACACCCTGCATACACCATAAGACCAAAACCCAACAGACAAAAGGGAGCAAGATTTGTGGGGTCCAGGCAGGATCCGAATCCTTCTGCAGCTCCGCCTCTCATCCAGGACCATGCTGCTGGCTAAGTAGGGTTAAAAGGGCTCAAGGTTCAGGACCCGGGGTAAAGGCGTTCAGGGTTTAGGCTTCGTGGTTTAAGTTTTTAAGTGTTTGGTAGAGGGTTTGGGGTGCTTCAAGGTTAGCTTAGGAGAGAATATGGCCACTCGTTTCGGGCTTACATTCTGATAGGAGTGGTTTGTGTGGGATACATCTATGATCATCTATGTATCCTGCAGGGATACTGGAGGTTGATCCATGCGCTTCTGTCTTAAAGGTCTAGTCGGGATCATTCTGGATTTTGTTTTAGTTTGTGGTGTGCTGACAGGTACGGGTGGTTAGTCGACAGTAGAGCGAATAGTACAATAGCAAGAGACTGGTTTTGGAAATGCCTCACTACAATCACCTCATCAGCATGTCGAGCGGAGGTAGGGAGAAATGTACGACGCGACGTAGACCAAACTCGAACAAACTCTTGAACCCTAAACCTGAAATCTTTAAAGGAGCCATCTGCGGAATGCACCTGGGTTTGGGTTTGAATCCAGTTCCTCCTATCGATCATTTAATCCCGTGTTTTCTTCTGCGAAAGTATGTTATAAAGTCTGCGAAAACGCAGGGGGCGCAGGAGGTAGCCCAAGGCAGCAAACCCCAGGATCTAAACCCAAAAGAGGACGAGGCTTTCCTTTTCTTCCGCGCTTTGGGCTTCTTCATTATGCCCCTGTTTGGGAAGAGTTCTCGATGCCCTTGCTCTTTGATGAAACATGATGGATGTTCAAAAGCCATAGCAGCACCCCTCTGACCCCTTCAAAAGAACGGTACCTCGACTTGAATACTTGAATCTCTAAATGTTTGGTACCGCCTGCAGGCACGACCGCAACGCGCGGACCTGAGACTTTGTATGCACAAGGTTTGCCCCACCTGAAATGAGCTTACAATATTTTCTCCTTCACGAAAGGATTCTAGTCGTGTTCGAGGGCACTGTCAGACACACGCCCCAAGACAGTAGTCACACTAGACAGTCGCGGAAAGGATTTGTGAGGATAGCCCAGGGCATGCTACAACAAGTTTTAACATGGGATACATAAGCAGCCTCAACATAGCGCCCAATGTACGATAAACCTTATTATGGGGACTGGCAAGCAGGGTCCCGCCGTTTATCTGAAGCCCTGGGTTCATGAAAAGTGTCCAGATGCCCGTTTGACCCTGGATCCAAGGAGCTTTCTTTCAAGTCTTCAGAGACGTTTATAGGCCGTTTTGTATTGCCCTTGACCCTAAATCCTAAAACCCTTGTTACCATGGCGCCTCTGTCTAGCAGGCAGCCAACATGTGAGTGACTGAGGTAGCCCGAGCATCCACAACAGACAATCGAGTGTGTTCTCGGCAGAGCGTTTAGGGTTTAGGGGATCAGATCTTACAAAACCAATAAACCTGGCTACACATTTCCGTGCAAAATCGTGCTTTCGCGTCGGTCCATCTCACATTTCGATTCGATATCGCACTTTGGAGTGCAACGTCCTCACATTCTCGTGCAGAAGCAGGATTGTCACTCGACATCGCGGCTCTCATCTTTGTACGAAGGGGGTCCGCGCGCCACCAACCCCCTCATTGTTTGAAACAACAAGTAGAATCCACAGCAAACTGCACATCAGAACAACGAAATTAAGTAACACATGCAACTGCAATGCCTAGCAAATTTCATGAAACCTAGCACATGTTCTCATCTTCGTCCACGGTTTGCAGCTTGGTGCGTGAGCCCGGGCCCCCCAACCAGATGCTGTTTTTTTTTTGACTGCGCAGACGCCTGGCAAACCCAATGAAAACGTGCCAAGAAGTAGCGTGCTCTCGGCTTCGTGCATATCTTTGCAGATGGCCGTCAGCTGAACAAGCAAGTCCTTGTCCAAAAAGCAGAGAGGACAGCCCCTGGCAAAGCCGATCAAAACCTACCAAGAATCTGCCCATTCTCATCGTTGTACATGTTTTGCCAGGAAGGTTTGCGCCCGCCCCAACGTTCAGCTTTGCATTTTCTACTGGGCCACTAAGCAAGCACAACCCTAGAAACCTACATGTTCTCATCTTTGCCTACAATTTGCAAATGTCGGTGGGTCGCGGGGTTGTGCCCCCCTCCCCCCAACCCCTTGATTTTTAACAAACGAAACTTAGACAACAAGCGCACCTCGTAAATCCAGACAAACCTCACGAAGATCTACATGTTCTCATCTTCCTCCATGCTTTGCAAATGGGGGCTTCACCTCCCCTGACTTCTTTGAGAGCTTCACGATGCCTCAAAAGATCCGACTGAAACCTTCCAAGAATGTGCAGGTTCTCATCGTGGTCCATGCCTGACGCAAAAGCACCCAAAAATGCCTCCATGGCAAAAGCGCGCCCGGCCTCCACAAGAAAAAGTTCGCCCGTCCTTTTAAGGCAACATCAGCCTTTCAATAAAACGTTTATGGACCATCAACCAAGAGCATGCTTGCATGTGGAATGTCCGTATCAAATTTCATTCCACGACACATGTGGAGTATCCCCGCATCTTTGCTGAAATTTGTCCAAGACGTGCGACGTTCTTGGATTTTCGCTAGAAATCACAGCCTTGCGTGGAGCATCTTTCAATTTTGCTGCGGGCTTCGAAAAAAAAAACCACAGGAACGCAGCTCCCGCAGCGAAAAAGAACATGCCCGGCCTCTGAAGAACGAAAAAGCGCACGGCCTCGACCACAAAAAGTGCCCGCCCCCCAGACCAGGGGGCGTTCACAACCAGGGCCGGAACGTGGTTCCTGCTGCGTAGAATTTGCTAGAGTCTTGCTGGGGTTTTCGGGTAATTAACGGGTTAAAGGTTCAGCTCTTGGGCTTTGGGGATAGCATTCTAGACTTTGTCTTGAGCACAATCATTGTGACTTCCCCACAGCCATGCCTACATTAGAACCTTACCGCGAGGAGCAGAATCGCGCCGCAAAGCTGCGCGTAGGAAAACAAAACATCCAACTAGTTCTTAGTCCCTGAATCGCGGTGCCTTAGGCCCTTAGGCTTGATTCAGAGAGCACAGGAAGCACAAGGGAATGATTTTTCATCTCTTTGGCTCCCGTAATATCATACCGGAATTGGGCAGTAGGAATCTGAGAATCATTGTACGTGTACTGGTGGTGGCGGTGCCAGCAACTAGAAATTAGCAGCTTGCAACCTAGTGCCAGGAGCTGTAGCCAGAAATGATGGGGAAGCTCTGATTCCTAGGATCCCAAATGGTCCTTTGCAGAAGCACATTATCAGTCCGGAACAGTTGAATGGCTCTTCTTACCGTGCGTTCAGCAATGTCTGGCCAAATATTGGTTGAGCTCACCGAGGAGGAGTTCCATGCTCTAGCGGAAGAAGAAACTTGGTAGTTTCCCTTAGTTAGGGGACCCCAATGTAGGTCCACAAATGCTAAAGTCCTTGTTATAGGGACCCCCGACGAGGTACCCCTCATTTTGGGAGACCCCCAATCACAAAAAGTAGTTTCCATTTTCTTGTCCATTATCCCAATGTATCCCCAACATCATCCCTACATCCCCTTTAAAGGCCACTTGTTGGCTGGTCCAGCAGGTTCAGGACAGGCCTAGCACTTAGGGATTTGCTCACAGATCTCTGCGTTCCTGAGCTACCTACCTCCCTGGACCTACTTTGGTCTCAGTATCCAGCAGTAGCCGTCTAGTACAGACAGACTTCAAGCTGAGGATTGTGGAATCGGAGGAAGCTTAGTCGGGGCTCTGAAGTTCGAGCTTGCAACCCGAGGGTATGCCCCACGATTCCACCAGCGACTCTTGCAGAGCAGTGTGGAGGTGCACGATGATGAGTCTCTGATTTTCCCGTCAGATGTGGACTTGGTGATTTTAAGCCTTTGGCCTCCCGACACAGCACGAGACGCAGACTTCCTCCGTGCGTGCGGGGAGGGCCTTGCGGAAGAAGTGGAGCGATTTCTGAGGCTTCCGCAGGATCCCAATGCTGCAGATGAAGAAGGAAGCGGAGCTTTGCATAGAGCTGCTTTGAATGGCCACCTGGATGTGGCGAGTTTGTTGCTACAGGCTTACGCCAGTTGTGAAGAGGGTACCGTGGCTGATGGCCAAACTCCTTTGCACTTGGCAGCTTATCGTGGCCACACGGAGTTGGTGAACATGTTGCTGAAAGCTCGGGCCTCACCGAACAAGGCCATGACGGACAATGGCACAGCTCCCTTGCATTCAGCTGCTCAACATGGTCGATTGGAAGTTGTTCGCTCCTTGCTGACAGCCAGAGCCGATTGCAATCCAGAGACTACTGACGATTATGCAACGCCCATGCTTTTAGCATCACAATACGGCTACGTGGAAGTTGTTCGAGTGTTGCTAGAAGCTCGTGTAAGCTGTGAGCAGGGGGCCTGTGCAAGAAGTCCGTTGTACTGCGCGGCTCATCAGGGTTGCAGGGAGGTGGTCTCCTGCTTGCTCGAGGCTCGAGCCTCGTGCAATCACGCCTCGCAGATGGATGGCTCAACTCCATTGCACGCAGCTGCTTTTGAAGGACACTTACAAGCAGTAAATTTGCTGCTGGAGGCCAGGGCTTCCATTAACCATGCTTGCCATTCCGGATTCTCTCCCCTCATGCGGGCAACTCAGTCTGGCCACGTTGAAGTGGCTCGCGCAGTGCTTCAGGCTGCAGGTGTCTGTGATCAGCCGGGGCCCAACAATGCAACTCCTTTGTATTGGGCAGCTTGCGAAGGACACTTGGAACTGGTGCACCTTCTTCTAGACGCGAGGGCTTGCTGTGGTGTGGCCGAAGCACAACACGGTGCCTGGACTGCTGGGAAGCTGCTCTTGTTCTTGGCAACCTAGTATGACCAAAGCAAGAGAAGCATAAAGAAGCCATCCAAGTTTGCTTGCGGTTTAAGGGTGCTGCAGGTACAACTGCTTTGCATGCGGCAGTCTCGAAGGGCAACCTTGAGGTGGCCAAGGCTTTGTTGGATGCTGGAGCCTCTGCTGACGCGTCTTTGCAGGGTGGCGATGGCATCACCCCTTTGCACCTGGCAGTTGCGAGAAATCTTGTTGAAGCAGTCCGGCTTTTGCTGGATGCGGGAGCCACTGTTAACAAGGAAAACTCGAAGGGGCACACCCCCTTGCATCTGGCAGCTTTCTTTGACGGAGTGGATGTGGCCCGCATTTTGATGCAGGCCGGAGCCAAATTGGATCAAGCAACATGTCTGGGGGTGGCTGCGTTGCACCATGCTGCGAAGACATTGGGTCATGGTTGCAGAACATCTTTATCTGATCTGTTTGGGAGTATTTAGGCACCATGAGAATCAACACGCATCATTTTCAATCATGCCCCTCCCCCCCGCCAACTATCCGCACAACGACGTCGTCTCATACATACATACATACATACATACATCCATGCATACATCCATCCATCC